AGCTTATGTTTTCTTTTTAACCCATAAGAACCCGGACCGATTTTTCCTTATAGGAAAATTATGGGGCATATAATACAGACCAAATGGACCACTAATAACATGTTTCTGCAGTTGTTTTTGAAATACAACCCCTCTTTGTGAAAGATCTGCAATGTTACATATATGTCACATTGGGCGTTTATAACACATTTTTCATGTTACGTATATGTCACATTGGGCATTTATTTCACAATTGAAAAAAATACATTTTGTCAGTTTTATCTACTACATAACATTTTTTTTTCAGTTTATTTGCTTTTCCCCAACATGTTTTAAAGCCCCATAACTGTGACCAATACATTTTGCAACAATTCTTTCGAAACATCAAAATTCAACCTTTTTTGGTATGGTTATTTGTGTATTGTTTTCACAACTTGAAAATGTGTGAACTAAATAAAAATAAATAACTACCTCACAGCGACACTGGCTCAGTGGGTAGCACTTTTGCCTCACAGCAATAAGGTCACTGGTTTGAGTCCTGGCTGAGTCAGTTGGCATTTCTGTGTGGAGTTTGCATGTTCTACCCATGTTCGCAGTGGTTTCCTTCAGGTGCTCCGGTTTCCCCCACAGTCCAAAGACATGTGGTAAAGGTGAATTGAATAAGCTAAATTGGCCTTAGTGTATGAGTGTATGAATGCAAGTGTGTATGGGTGTTTCCCAGAGCTGGGTTGTGGCTGGAAGGTCATCAGCTAAGTAAAACATATGCTGGATAAGTTAGCGGTTCATTCCTATGTGGTAACCCTTGATTAATAAAGGGACTAAGCCAAAATAAAATGAATAAATGAATGAACTACCTCACACTGAAGGTTAACATGTTAAACCTGCACATGTTGTCAGCCACCATGGAACACCTTGTGTCATTTTCTCAGTATGCACGATTTCCTGGCATTTTGTCTTAGACCAATACGCAGATAGCTCCCAACCAGTATTTACGATTCTTTAACAGTGGAGTTAACAATTTTTTTGAGTTCCAGATTGTTGCACACTGTACAAATGCGTTTTTTCCTTCAGCAACGCGAACATTTTTACTGTTATTAACTTTTTGAAATACTCCAGTGGTGTGTGAAGATAGTCTGGAGTTTTGGCACTTAGTCATTTGAATGTGCACCCGGGGGTTTCAACTTTCTACAAGAAAAAATTTAGTTGCCCTTGCTGGCCAGAGTTTATGTTTGGCTGTGCAGCTTCTGAATCTAGATCACTTGATCTGCTAATGTCTAAATAAGATCCACTTGATTCACCATCCTCCATGTCTTTTTTTTACTTAAAGTGTAATCAGGATCATCAATGTCTTTATTCAAGTCACTGTCACATCCCTCATACTCACTGTCATCTCTGTGGATAAACTTTAGTGCATTCTGAACATCAAATTCTTTCCTGAATCTAATCATGTTATTCTCACTTCAATTTTACAACCTTAAAATAAGACCAACATATGATATAAACATCTTGTTACAGCTTATAGTTATAAAATAGTTTCAAAATACATTTCATTAACGATATAATTAATGTGACATTATTAATTTTTTGTTAATATATGCTTTGCAATGAGCAGTAGAAAATATTGAACACTAAAATAGTTTATTCAGCTAAATTATTGAGCAGTTTGTTACTATTTTTTTTAATGTGACAAATACGTCACATCAAAATTCCACCAACTGTTTTAAGGTTAACAGCTCGATGTGACATATGTCACTACAATATCTTCGTACCTTCATTTATATCAGTTTGTTCAAGAAATGTATTAAAATCACGGTAAATGTAATCTAGGATGTGTTATTAAAACTTTAGAATAGTTAAATGGGTCAAAACATACCTTTAGTAATAAAAACAGATCTCTTTAAAAATTGCTGACAGTGCAACATGTGCTCCCTACACAGTCCACCATTTTGGACATGTTGCCATGACAACAAAAATGCACACATTCTTACGTGACTGAACCTGGATGTTACTTATACGTCACTTTGAGACTTCCCGAGTTAAAAATGAGGAATAATGCTTTTAAAAAGACCTTTTCAGATGATCACAATTGTTTGTGACACCCGCGTCACAGTGGGTTCTTATGGGTTAATATTAAAATATTTGTTTTGAAATCTGTAATACTACTATTGTCTCTCATTGACGGTAAAAGAACCAGCCTTTAGGCTACATATTTAAAGGACGTAATCACAGAGATGAAATCAGATGTTTAAGACATAATCTTTAAAAAAATGACATTAAAAATGCAGCAAAAATGACAGACGTTTACAACAGCAGTGGATCAATAATTAAATCCTTTAAATCCTTTTCCACGAAGCGAAGCTATATGCTTTAGCGCCAAAACAGTCCATCAAACTATTTTCACGGTTTCATTTTAATTCATTAACTACGCGCGGTCTGAGCAGCATGAACTGGACAGTCTTTTCGCTGCATTGATAGATTTCTTGGCTTACCTCGGAAGAATAAACTCGGATGGAGCTCAGAACCTCGATGTGTAAATGTAAAGGCTCCCCGGCTGGCTCCCCGCATGTTTTCGTTGTGATGCGCGATTTATAAATTGAGAGTCTGCTATTCGTGCTAGTCTGTCAGACAAATTTGGTTAAAACACGCGCAGATATATCGGATATATGCGCATAACAAGGGTTTATGCATCCCACAATATGGGATGTCAAGAGGGTGACAGCATAGGTAAATTGCACACACTTGATGATGTAATGCGTGGATGCGTCTCAAAGCGCAAAGCATAACTAAACCTTTACATGTCCATGCTTAATCAGTCATCGATAAGGTCTGTCGATAAAAGCGTTATTAACAATCAATAGATAAATACATTAAAGTATATTTCACCCTAAATTCACCATACTCACCATTAAAAGGAGAGTTCATCCAAAACTGAAAATTATGTGACCTTTGACTCACATTGTTCCAAACCGGGGTTTTCAATAACTTGTAGGTAATGTCTTTGGTTCTTGAAAACTTGAACAGTAAATGCTGAATAAAGATTGTTCTTTTGTTTATTATTTTATTATTTATATTGTCAGACAGCTAAAACATTTCACTAAATGTGTTAAACTAGCTGCACAAAGCCATTGGCATGCTGAAAATCTTATATCTTTGATAGATATAAAGATTTTACATTTATCAAGATAAATATCGATATCGACTGATATGAAAAAAATTATCGTGATAATTTTTTTTGCCATATCGCCCAGCTCTAATTGTGACGCAGTTCCTAGAGAAGCAGAATATTAAATGAGAAAGCAGTGGGTGTGGCTTCTTCTTTTTACTGTGAGCTGATTGGATATAGTAAAGTAGGCATTTAATTCCAAAAGATGGAGAAAATGGTTTGAAGGGAGTTATTAAAACCTCAGACACCTCCCCCTCACTATTTTTGTTTGATGTCAAAGCTGACAGTTGGACCAGCGTGATTAGAAATGTCAGCCATGCCCAATTCCTAAGATGCATATAATCTGACAATTTAATAAAAAAAATAAATAAATAAAAAAAACAGGAGTGCATTTTCGGATTTCCATGAAAGATTAGAAGGGCATTTTTTTCCTAATAATGTTTACAAATTAATTGTTTACCACAATACTAACAATGTGCGCTAACAAAATCATATGGTAAGTTTTGATTTCTTGGTCTCTTTAACGGACTGAAAATAAATATTCAGAAAAAACTGAAATTTAACATGGAAAGTAAGCGAACGCATGCACTAAAAGAGCTTCTATGGAAGTCTCCTTACTTGTTAAATATTACATGCTGTCAGTTTCAAAAGCCTAATTGTTGCTGTAAAACCATCCCTGGTTTCAACACTATCCACTGCTCTCTGTGCCACTGTTTTAGTTAATAGCACTGTTGCAATTTCTATGCAGAAACAAAAAGGGGGAAAATAAATAATAAATTCACAGGGGGCCATGTTTTAAAAGCCCAAGTGTATTAAAATGTTGATCTTGCTTAAGCTGCGATGATGACATCACATAGGCCCTGTTCACACCTAGTATTAAAATGCTTTTTGGTCAGTTGAATCACACGTAGAGGAGGCTGAAACATTCTTTCCTGATTTCTCTGAGAAGAGGGTCTATAGGGAAGTTTACGTATGGGTTTGATCTTTCGACTCATCATTGCAAAAAAATTCTTACATACTTTGCATTTGAACACAAAAGGAGGCAACACAAAGTGATACAGAGAACACCAGCTTTCATTGTTGAATTGAAGGCCACAAAACTACGGTAAACACTGTGGGTTTGAATTGGAATAAAGGCTGGTAAAGGCCAGGACATGTCAAGCCAATGGTCAGCCATTGGGAAGCATCAGACTGTAATCAAGTCCTGTTGCAAACAGGGCAAAACATTCTATTTTTAAAAGTCTTTATAAGAAGTGATTTCCTGGTTAATTCTTTAGTTGTCTCTAACATAATGGCATTCACACGGGTGTATTTGAGGATGTCTGTAAAAGTGGACATGCGCAACATATTCAGAAAAATACTAGAAACAGAGTTGTTTTGAAATAATAAGTTGTCATTTGGGTTATGGAAAGTGCAGTCATGCAATGCACTCTCCAAAACACAAACATAGCCATGAGGTGATCAATGATGCCCTGTCTCAAAACATCTGTGGCACACAGTGAGCAACGCGGAGCTCATGTGACATGTGCTGGACGCGTGCTCGTGTCACGGTCACATGATCTCAGGGCTGGTGCTGATGCAGCGGCTTAAACACACCTGCAGATTGCAGAAGTTAGCGATGCTCCCAGATTAGCACGTGCGTTCAATTACCGTACTGCATTTTTAGCTTTTACAGATTAGCAGTTTTATTAGTGCTTCGCTGTTTGTGTTCGAATGGGTGCCAATCAACATCTTACAGGTTTAATATCTACTCAAGTAAGCTTGAAGGTCAGTTTATAAATTAGGATGTGAGGTTTGAACCTACAGTTTGTTAGTCATCAGATTAGAAGTAGAATCGTGATCTGTGGCATGGACTCACCGCAATCAGCGTGCTGTTCCTGCTCTGCTCGCCGGGCGTCCCACTCCCTCCGTCCGCTATCTCCGCGCTGCCGCCCCCGCCGCTCGCCCCCCTCTGCCCGACCGGGTCCGCGCTCGCCGCTGCTGCCGCCGGCGGCTGCCTGTGTTTGTTGGAGCGCTTGGCCTTGGTCTGCAGGAAGCGCTGCTGCAGCGCGATGGTCTGCTGCCTCTCCATCTCCAGCCGCTCCATAGCCGTGTTATCATAGCGGTTCTCGCAGCCGGTGTGATGCCGCCGGAAAAGCTCAATCCGCCGCCGCAAGCGTTCCATGACGGCACTATGCCGCGGCACCACAAAATCCGCCATCATCCAGAAAAACAGCGGGTTAAAAACTCACTCTCGAGTCTCCGGATACCAGCACAACTCGAGACTAATCGTGCTGTTACGGTGCGTGTGCGAGCGTGCGCGTCTTTACAAAACACACTCAACTGCCTCCATTATTCACTTTCTACCTCTTTATATAACAAAATAAATGGCACATTGTTCAGATGTGAGCGCTCAAATATACATATATATATTGTTAAAATCACAACTTTGACTAAAGTTTCCTTTTAACTAAACGATAAGACGACGCGCGTACACACACACACATAAACAAACACAAAAATCACAGAACAATCCCCTTATCTAACTAGACCCGGGTCCTGACAACCAGAACGAAATTAACACTATCCTTTTATGAATGAAAACGTCAACTAAAGATATTAAGTTATTCATCTTAAACGTTACATTTCTTTCGACTCGATATAACGTTAATATCAGAGGAAAGTTGAGAGGGTTCAAAACTTTTAACAGTTAACGTTACTTAAGGAATCCCTTTCAGAAACTTCAACCCGGTTTATCTTTAACTTTTAAGTTTACATAGATAAATGCGCAACATTTCGTCTAATCGGGCTGTCTTTCTTAAAGCAAAACCTTTTAACAATAACAACAAAAAATAAACGCGTGTTTTTCCGACTCACAGTTGAAGTTTGACAAAGACGTAGTTGATTTCTAAAAAAAAAACACCGACGAAGTGTTAGAAAGTGGTGGGTAAAAGCGTACACATTACATCCTTCCAGCACAAAATAACTTCGGCAGTTACGAGTGAGTTTTAGTAGTAAAAGTAACTTTTAAAGTAGCAGTGCGGCTAACAGCTGATCCTCAGTTACATTACAGCTACGGATGTAGCTTAGCCTATGTGCTAACTAGTCCTCAAACAAAGCACTGTAAACTCTCTTTCTTTAGATTCTGTTCAAAAAGTCTTGAAGTAGACACAACCGACTACCGTCCGCTGGTTTAACGCGACACGAAAACAAAAAAGCAAAGGGTTAAGAAATAAACTCTGCCCTACTGCGCTGTCTCTATTGTTTTCCAGTGTTCAGGCAGTTGTTGGTCGCCATCTTGTAACTATTTTTTTCTCTTTTTTTCCTGTTTTATCCACGCGCTGTGAGTGACATTTCAGTCAGGCAATCACAAACTCTCACTGCTAACTCCGAGCACTCGAGCCTTCTTCAGCAGATGTGATACTGTTATTTGAAGTCACACGTTATTTTAAGCGCTTATTGTTTTTAATTATTCAAAATATGTTGTTCACCAGATTTTTACAATTCTTTAAAAAAGCGTTAAGAAAAAATTGGCTACATACAAAGATAGACACATACACACACTGAGGGAGACTAAAAACTAAAAACCTATTGATATGTTTTGGCAGAGAATGCATACATTTGTCGAGACCGGAAAATTCTGTCGACTGGTATTTTCAAACCGATGTCAGGTGACCCCAGGGGTCTGCTTTAAAGTGCCAGTGTGGTCCATGTTTGAGAGCGTAGATTTAAAGGTAAAACCAAAATAAAATTTAAATAATTATTAATGAAAATCCGAGGGAAACATTAGGATCAAATGTAATATCTATATTTTTATTTAAGATCCAAAAAAAAAAGGATTAAAACAAACAAATTCATATTAGATTATCACAAATTGTAAAACTGATTCAAATATAAATATGAAAATTAATTAATATACAAATTAATTAAATGCTGTAATGCGAAAAAAGAGAATAAAAACTATAAATATTTTCAAAGTAACATTTCAGATACTTTTGTAATGTTTTTGGTTGAATAAATTTGGTATTCCAGAAAATATAATATTTTTTCTTTCTTTTCAATTCTTGGTTTTTATAGTGGGGGTCCCTTCCACAAGAACGATCACAGGGCTCTGTGAAATCTAAAACTCTTGACTAGTTGACTACATGCATCACTGGATTTAATTGGGGTTTGTTTTAACCTGAGGTAAGTTGTGTTTTCTCCAAGATTCTCTAAATAAGGGGTGCCCAAACTTTTTCTTATAAAGGGCCAAAAACCAAACTAGACTGAGACTAGAGGACCGAATGTAAATATCTGGCATGGGTACTTCCCAATTAATAAATAATATATAAAAATAGCTTAAAAACATTCCTTTGTATTAACTTTTTTTTTTACATAATAAACTTATTACAGGAAAAACAATCTAATTTCTAACAGAATGGAGTCACACTAGTCAAACTGCACCTGATTTTGTCTATATTTGCTCGCAGATGTCTTATGCATTGTTCTCTTATGCACTGTCGAATGACAGTATTTACATTTTTACAAAGTATTTATTTACGTATTTACAATTAACACATAAATGAAACATTTAATTTTAGTTGGCCTTTTTGTTGCTCAGCAAAAAAACAAACAAACAAACAAAAGTGATTTTTTTTTTAAAAACTAAAATAAAAGCATTCAGACTCCTTTCTCAGATGGGATGGTAGTTACAACAGGCCAGCTTTGGCCCACGAGCCCTTTTTGGGCATCTCTGCTCTAAATCCTTTTTAGTTATATTGGGGTATTCCACTTTGCTTGGATGAAAACTATAAAGATTTAAGACAGAAAGAGAGGCCTTATAGATTATATCAGCCTGCTCTCAGTCTATGGGCAAGACCTGATGCTTCTCTGATACTGTAAAAGAGTTATGCAACTCCCACCACTATCACTTCTAAAAATAGCTCTTCCTTACAATCTCATAACAGCTGAGATGAATGTTGTCAGGATGTCTCAGAGCTATTTTTAGACATTTATTGAGAAATCGGTCCATTTTTAGCTATGATTATATGGTATGCAGCAAGACTCACTAAGCATTCAGAAATATAGTTGTGGACACTAAAGAGGTTGCTCTTAATACTATTTTTATTTATTATTACTATTATTATTATTATTATTATTATTATAACACAATTGTCCTTCAGTAGCTCACAAAACTGATCACTTTTTTTATCACAAGCTACATTAAAGGTATAGACTGCATTATAACTCAGAACTACTGTTGTTTATTTATTTTTTATTTTTTTATGTTTTGTTTTTCCTGAATGAACCAAGTCTCAAGTTTACACAGGTGACCAAGTGGAGTAAGCAAAGGTAAACTTTTGTCTATTTACGCACAGTTTATCTTAATTTTTCATGCCTAGCAAAGCTCTTTGAAGTAACTTAAAATGCCATTATTATGCTGTTATATTACTTATCAAGTGTAGTTTAGCAGTTTGTGAATGTCAAAGTTTTGAAAAGTTTCTTAGACCAAAGTGCAGGATGAACTAATTGGCTTCATTTAGAATCATATGCTACTCTACCATTTGCAAAATATAAATGCAAAATAAAGATTATTCTATATATTATGCATGTGTGCTGTATGAATGACATGTATACATTTGCAGTCTTGTTTTCACTGCCATTCATAAATATCTCTGATGCACTCTTAACCTGAGTTAGTCATCCAAAGTGCTATTTGTTTATTTGGTAATATAATATAATATAATATAATATAATATAATATAATATAATATAATATAATATAATATATTTGACTTGTAGCCAGGGGGGTTCGGGTGGTTTGAAAGACCCACCACTGACAAAGTCCAGATTTTGACCCCATCATGAGCTCATTTATCCCATTTTTGACTGCTATATCATCAGAAATTGTGAAACTTAATGATAGAAGAAGGCTTCAAGACAAATTAAATTGAATTATTCAAGTGTCCAAATTGTAACTTAGGAAAGTTGAATGGAGCTGGCCAGTTTTTTGCTTATAGGCTGCAGTTTTATTTCATAATAAGTTTTACCAGATTTTTTTTTTTTTAAATGATGGATAATACATTTGTATTTAAAAAGTGCTTTTTTCATATTCATTTTTTAAAATGCTAATCTCGTTACAATATCTATAAAAATGGATTAACTTAGTTTAAATCCAAATTTGTAAATAAATACTTTGTAGTAAATAGTTTGGTAAGCACTTTGACAAAATTGTAGGAAATAGCATCAAAAAAGTGTGGCAATGATCACCATTCGACAAGCTGATCCAGCGAAGATTAGTTCTTAAAATGTCACTATAATGCATAATTGAATAAAAAATGAGTGTGTGTATATGCATGTATTCTTTTTTTTTTTATACCTTTTTGTGACTAACAAATTGTCAGTAAGACATTAGGCACAAGTTCATTAAAGTACAGCACATCCTGAATGTTTTTGTACAGTTATGTTATGGCTTTATTCTAAAATGGATTAATTTAATTATTACAAACAGTATTCATAATCATGTTGTTGAAAAAAAAAAGTTTATTTGAAATCTTTGCAAATTTCATAACCCTCCTGTCGTGTTCCCATCCCACCCCTTGGTTTAGTGTTCCGGTCAAAATTGACCAGGCGGTTTTAACTGCTCCTACATTAGCACAAAAATAATTTTCACTACCAAACTTTTATTCAACATTCTTTAGCTGAGAACAATGACTCAAAGTAGTGTTTAACATCAATTAATAGAATTAGACAAAATAACTGCAGTGGAAACACAAATAGGCACTGAAAAGGTTTACAAAATGAACAATGGAGAAATTAAAATACATTAGTGCTCCTGCTGCTATAAAGATTTGTTGAATGGAGATTGACTGAAAGAAAGAAAGAGATTTGTAAGAATTACTAACTTATGAACTTGTTCGAATTAGCCAAACCGATAAAACGTAAAATAGTTATGTTATTATGTGAAACACAATATTTCAAGTCAATATACAAGTCATATTTGACCCGAACATGACAGAAAGGTTAATACATGAAAAAAAACTCAAGTATTTACAGCTTTTGCTAGAACCTTCTTGAGTGAGTTCAATGCTCAAGTCTGCTTCCACGCATCCTTGATACCAAGAACACATCTGGGAACTTTCACGCGTCCTTCGTTTTTGCGGTCTTGAGTTTTGGAACTAAACTTTGGCAGTAGATGATGACAATACACAACACGAGGATACAAAATTGCTGAAGAATGCATGAGAAACAGCTGAGTTGTCTTACAACAGGGGTGCCCAATCCTGTTCCTGGAGATCTACCTTCCTGCAGAGAAGACGTTTTGAGCCTCCAGGCCTCATCATGTAGCTGGCCACCTGACCAAACCGAGTGAGTGGGCAGAAGGGCTTTGAGGTGACCATGAAACCGATGGTCACTCTGAAAGAGCTCCAATGTTTCTCTGTGGAAAGAGGAGAACCTTCCAGAAGAACAACCAACTCTGTAACACCATTCAGGTCTGTTTGGTAGAGTGGCCAAACTACTGTATATGACAGCCCACCTGGAGTTTGGCTGCTGTCAGAGTGAGAGTCTTGAGAAGGACCGAATGACTCTCAGACCAAGAGAAACAAAATTATCTTGTTTGATTAAACAAAGAATGAAGACTTTGTTTGGAGGAAACCAGGAGCTGCTCATTACCTGACTCATACATGCCTACAGTGAAGCATGCTGTGAGCATGTTTTTTAGCATCAGGAGAGACTAGTCATAATTGAAGGAAAGATGAATGCAGCTGAGACATCCTTAATAAAAACCTGCTGCAGAGCACTCTGGACCTCATTGGGCACATCTTTCAACAGGACAATGACCCTAGCACACTAGAGATGTAATTATATGAAAATTTCATAAAGCGAATTGAAAGTATAGTGGCAAATGAACAAGGTTTTCATCTTCACAATTTTGTTAAAACGATGCATAATAAATGCAACATGACATTCTACAAAGTTTTGTATCTGAAATGAACAAACAACAAAGAAAATTAGCAGCTCAAGGTAGTTTTGTGATGAACAACATTAACATGCATTATGAATTTGTTGTATTTGTTTTATTATTTTTTTTGTTTTTGTGTGTGTGTGTTTTCACAGGTGGTGTTTAATTTCCTATTCAAGGTATTTGATTTAAAAACACTTGGGGAAAACTACCTCACAGAGATCCTTTTTTTTTTTTTTTTGACAAAATGGCATAAAGCCTTCTATAAAAGCCAAAAGAGGTTGCGGAGGTCTACCAGCAGAGTTCAGCTGCAACCCTAATCAAACCAAAGTGGAATCTGAAGGTGCACTTGATGATTAAAGCCAGGTGTGTTTCATCAAGGTTGCAGCTGAACTCTGCATGAAGGTTGATCTACAGGAAAGGGTTGGTCACCCCTGCTTTAGTGATGAGCTTATCACATTGTTATTGGATTTTCTTTGAATTTGCGGATTGCGAATAATCACAGATTTCATGATGATGAAAATTTGATATAGTTATCCTAGCAGAAAGCACAGGTGAATTGGGTAAGCTAAATTGTCCGTAGTGTATGAGTGTGGATGAGTATGTGTGGATGTTTCCCAGAGATGGGTTGTGGCTGGAAGGGCATCCGCTGCGTAAAAACGTGCTGGATCAGTT